TTCCATTGCGCCACACACAATGCTCATTTGTTGAATAATCAAATCCATGATTTGAAGCTATCAACCAAATGATTGGCCCACCACTGTCCTTTAAATGGACTTTGTCAGCCTACTGACTAAATGCTCTTAGCCCTTTTAATGAAAACTTCTGGGTGCTGCTTCGTGGATATTCCTACAAGACTTCCGGTTAAGGAAAATGTCTTGACAACCACTTTGCCTAACTCATAACTAATATGAATGGCATCAGCTCTAAATTAGGCCACCAGTGAGATAATTAACTCATAATAGATCTCATTCTTTCTGAGTTTACCATTTCACAACAAGCCTTTCTATGTACAGACTTAAACACGGCTACTGGTGAAAAAGCTAACTCATAATAGATCCCTTTCTTTCTGAGTCTGCTATTTCACAACAAGCCTTGTACTAAAGTCTTCACTTATAGATTTCGCCCAATAGCAAGTTTGCTACATGGTAATTCTATAAGAACCCAGATCTGATAAGAGTCCATGACCCTAAATCAGAAAACATTAAAACTTTGCTAAGTTTATGCATCCTTGTCTTGGATCTCCTCATTGTATAACTAGGGATCGATTCAAGTTTACCAGAGACTAAGTCCGAGACTTTCTCAAAAACTTGAATTCCATGAACCTGTGATTAATACAGACTGAGTCCAACGACTCTCTCATTATCACGAATGGAGTTGTCTTGCAACCCTCCCACTACAACGAGGTTCCCTCTGCAAAGGTGTATAGCACAAAATACGTGTTGCAGTTTTTCCTTGTGGTATCACATTTGTACACTTGGTAACAAAGTTGAACTTTTACCTTTATCTTTCCTTAAAACAATTCTACAAATAAGCTCAGTGGTTTATTACTTAGTATTCCTCTAAAAATCAGACATTCGAGCTAACGAACATATTCTGACTTTTAGTACTATAATAATCCACTCATTTCTCGTTACCATGAAGTATCCCACAAATAGCCTAATTTCCGAACATCCTTTCCAATCTTATTAGTATCAACTTTCCAGCACTTGCTGAAAAGCTCTGAATCCGAATATGTTCCTGACAAGGCCTAAGCCTTGCCAACAATTCATTCAGAGTAATGACTACTAAACTTAGATAGGATTATGTTCAGAACTTATCCTGCTATTTGCACAACTCCAATACGAAAAAGCGAAATTCTTAATAACTCATCATTGACACAACTAATCTTCTAGAGAGACATTTTCCTTCGGTCTGTTGCACCGTCCTATTCTGATGAACCAAGTGTAACACGTTGAGATCGAATCTCAACATCCAATAAGTATTTCTATGATTTTCCAAAAGGTACTAGTCACTACGATTTCAATCGTAATGCCACTGATACATTAAACTCGACATCTTTCCATAACTGCCATTGCACTCTTTGGATGTACTCAAACTTATAGAATGTCACTTAATGTACCCTGTTTTGAACAAAATTCTTAGAAGAAAAATATTCAAAACTACCTTTTGTCCTAAAATTATAGAACTTTACAAATCGGATGAACCAACCATAACATTTATTTGGCTTCTAACCTCGACCTTCAAAAAGGTCATTATTGTGATTTTAGCTACCAAGTATAATTCGTAGGTCTGATAGTTTCATCCATTCCCAAAGAACCCATGAGTTCAATGGCTATCTACCTTTGAATTCTACTAATACTAAAATCCCAAACACTAGATGCCAAGTAATGTAATGATTCATTTATTGAAGAACATCTCTTCTTATTGGTTCTAGTCGATGTGTCATTTATTGCACTGTGAGATATTTTGGCTCCTTGAGTTTACAAATTGTCTACCCACGTATCAAACGGATAAAACATCTCTTTTTTACCCATACACAATTTAGAAACTGAACACGAGTTCTTTCTAAAACTTGGTACGAAAAGACAATTACTCAAAACCAAAAAATTTTATTCAATAGATAACTCCCACTGCAGTAGATGCTACTTCCGTAGCTAGCCCATTCTAGATGGTAATTCAACCTTCACATGTCGATTGGTTCACTGAAACCTTTTTACATAATTAGTGGTTACGTATCTACATACCAGGCACTGATAGATAACACCACTTAAAATGCTTCGACTTCCCAGTGAATAAGATTTACCTTTCTTGTATTAAGGATAGGACAGTTCATCTTTCTATGTCTATTTTGCTTAAACCAGATACACATGCCATTCGGCTTGTATTCTTCAGCAAAACTAGACACTATCCAAGTTCTATTTCTAATCATGTTTGAACAAGTAAATTATCTTTGAGTATTACGGACAACAGATTGAAAAGACATTTTGAATTTCTGGGATCATGCAAACATAGTCTTTACTCAGTCAAGTGTTTTTGAATCATCAAATATTGATCCCTTCAAAACAACATTTGAATATATTCACCGGCACCTCAAAACACCGAAACCCCGCAGGCCACTGAGTGTGGACGTCTACGGTTCAAACCGTCGCAAGAGGAGGGATAAATCCCATTAGCTTAACGTACTGCCAAGCAATACTTAACTAATAGTCGGTCGAACTTTTGGCCAGCTCAATTAACTTATAAATAAATTTTATAAGAATAAAAACGACCTTTTCCTTCGGGAATATCGTAATTATTTGCACTTTAAGCGTAACCCATTAATTGGTACTAAGTTTACTACCAAAATTATACGTCCACCTTTGGGTGACCCGTACGCTTTTGAAATAGCTCACTATAACCATCCCGAAGGAGATTCGTCCTTGTGAACTGTGAAATAAAACGTCCTTTGGGCTCGATTTAAATCACTTCACTGACAAACCTATAATGGAGGCCTTGGATGTTATTTACTTCAACCCATTACACACTTAATATAATTTTTAGTTTAAAGGGATTTTCTTAAACATGCTCCTAATAATTCAACTTGCACATAAAGCAATTAAATCACATTAGGACATGCATGATTAATAGGCAATAATAAACGATGAACTAAGATCCAACTATCATGGCCATTATAATCAATCTCCAATCTTTCGGGAAACACAGTCTAGTCCTTGTTCAACTGGGTCTTCCGATTCAGGACTTGAAATTTCCTTTTTCGCAGTGACTTCCACTTTTCATCTTGAACAAGTCGTCATCGGGAAAGTTGCCATCGAGTCTCCTCTTGCCTACTGCCGCCGTCGCCCGTACTTCTGTTGACCTGGGTCCGTGCGTATCCGTCTGCAAACACCTTAACAATGCTCGTATCTGACAGCAAGCTACCTACGAGTATGTCCGCATTTGCACAGTACCACGTATCCCATCAACTACGGGTTCGCGGGGTAGCCTGCCTCGTCTCATCGAGAGATGTCCGCGCTTACCGGGTCCAACGA